AAAAAAAAAAAAAAACTACTGAAGGGAATAATCTCCCACGCTGCACAGAGGATTTGGCAGCAGCCTGTCATGAGCAAAGCCCTAGCTAGTTCCCGTTAGCTGCACGCCTTATGTCATGCCTCATTCTGTTACCACGGCAATGCTGGCTTCTTGGACGTACAGTGAGGAAATAAGTCCGAGTCACAACAATGGAGGATTATGCTGAATTTCCGCTTTCAAAAATTGGGAAGAAAACATTTACTGAAAGGGATTATCAGGCTCTTTCTGCACTGTGCCTGAAGGACACGCCCCATAATTTTAGTTAAGTATAAGATATGATAGACTGTAGTTGCATGTCTTTTCCCTTTCTCAAAAACAAAGGCCACCAAAAACAAACAAACAAATAAAAAAAAATCCTTAAAATAAAAAAAAAAGAAAGGAAGAAAGAAAGCAGCTGCAAACCCTCACACTACCCCCACCCCATGTTGATTGTCAGTACCGTGGCCGGGTGTAACATGACACACACTTTCCAAATGGTTTGCCTCATGACTCTATGGAATGTTTTCCATTTCCTGCGTCCGGCGCTTTGACCTGTGCGTACACCGTCTCCTGCTGTCCGCTTTCCTGCACTGAGTCATAAGGAGCTTCGGGTTTTTTCTTAAAGAAGTTTACTTCCACGTATTGGAGTGCTTCTTCTGGTTTATTGGCTCCTTTTTCAGCATAAACCACTTCACCAGTTTGACTCTGTGGGGGAAAAAAAATAAAAAATTGTATTGTTCATTTTGATGCTGTCACAAACATCCGTATGAAAACTCAGTGTAGTGTTGAATGTTTCCCCACCTGAGTCTTTTGTGGAGTTGAACGTTTGGACTTAAAGCACCTGCAAGACATTAGAGAGGGGTCAGAATATTTCTGCTGTGCCTCAGAGGACAACACAGAGACAGAGATTAAGAGAGTCAAGTCTGAAATGGGCTTTAAAAGATGAACTTTGTGAAAATAAGATCAGATTAAAATCCAGTTGAAAAAGTCTGCAGACCAAACTAACAGGCAACTGAAGGACACAGCAAGAGGTGTAAATACAATAAAAACCAATAAATAGTGCAATACATTTGTATTTCTCTCTCAAATGCATCTTTGACAGAGTTACATTTGTATTCTAAATTTCGGTGTAAATGAATGAAAGCTTGTGCTGATGAGTGATGAGATAAAGTCACTCAAATCATTTTCCTCAAGTAAAACATAACGCTTTTGGTATAAAAAGAAGTGAAATGTGATTCTTCAGAAAGATCTGAAAAACTGATTTGCCAAGAGTTGTGCAAAAATGTGAGGTTGTCGTACATACTGTCAGGATCCTGGGTTTGCATTTTGACGGCTTACTGTGTTTGTTTTATTGTTTGATAAGTTACTAATTTTATGTTCTTGTTAGCCCTGCTGAATGCCATATCAATTTTCCCCAGCTGTTTATTTATGTTTTATTTTTTTGGTTATTCTGAAAAAATGTGATGCACAAATTTGTTTTACTTTACCAAGCAGATCATCTTAACCATCCCATGCATCTCAAAAATAAAAGAAAAAAATAAATAAAACATTCATACTCACCAAACTGAGATCAGCAGACAGATGAGCACAGAGATACCGATCAAAGCCAGAAGTGGAATTAAAAACTTTAAATTCCCTGTACCCAGAAGAAAAAGTAACAATTGTAACTTGAAAAGCATGTGTTGAATAAATAACCATTGTAGTTAAAATATAAAAGACAAAATAGATTAAATGAAATTAACATGAAAGATTCAGTCATATTGACTCAGCACAAAAGATTTAACAAAAGCACATGACATATAGTTTTGAATACCATTTATCAAACCAGCTTTAATCGAAAGGAGGATCACAGATGAGTTGGTTTGACCCAGGTCATTTGAAGCCTCACAGTAAAACTCTCCTCCCTCAGAGGCATTGAAGCTGTAAGCCGGTCCCACAGACACGTTAGTGGCTCCATGTTCGCTGTTCCTGAACCAGGTGAATCTGGGTGGAGGTTTGGCTCTGCTGGAGCAGCTCAGCTCCACCCAGCTACCTGCTGACACCAAACCTGATGGACTGATGGATGCTGAGGTGTTTCTAGGAGCATCTGAGGAAAATGAGACACATGAACTTTATTGATCACAAACAGCTGAACCATGACCTGCTGACAGGATCACTTACATGAAACACTGAGAGTCACTTCTGTCTCTGCTGTCTTGTTTCCTCCAATCACAGGATATCTGGCAGAACATCTGATGTTGTATCCATCATGTGTGTCTGACAGAGTGATGTTCTCCTGGATTTTAGTTGTAAAGGTTCCATCTGTGTTTTTCTCTGTTTGTCTGAGAGAGTCTTGTTGGAGATTCCAGGTGAGTTGAGGAGGTGAGTGTGGACAGGGAGTGAAAGCTGAGCAGGTTACAGTGACAGACTGATGCTCCTTCAGGTCAGAGGGAACATTAATGCTGGGACTCCAAGGAGAATCTGGAGTTTTAAACCAGACATTTTTAAAAAGTGACCCAGTGATTTACGGTTACATAGACAACAAAATATTAATAATCAGCCTTTTCAGCACTGGACTTATATTACAGAACTTTTAAAGCAAGATTTTCTTACCTTTAACTTTTATCTTAATTGGATTGCTACAAGCTGTTGCTCTGAACGGCCCGTTCTCAACTCTGAAGAAGTATCTATCTGCATGTGTGGAGTTTAAGTCATGAAACAGGGTGGTGCAGTTTTTCTCTCTCAAGTTTCCAATAATCTT